CTGAAATGATAAAAGTACTGTATTCCGGAAAATATAAAAATGTTAAAATCCGAGCCGCCGTGTCGAAGATAGAGACCAGGTGCAAAATTATTACGACGAAGCCCGTTAATTTGAATCGAGGTTCAGAAAATCATGGATTGCTTTTATTCCGAATCGGGCATGACCCAGAAACGTTAAGTATTATTTGCGAAACGAAAGATACTTTACGGAAGGGGATAAATTAACACTTACTAATCCTTTCGATCCTCTTTAAGGAGAAGAAAATTTAATTTACCGAGCTCATCTCACAACCGATCGAAAGCGATATGTTAAAATTACTTTCGAAAACTGTTTACAGTAAAATTCATCAGTATCTTTTGAGATAATTCGGAAATGCGAGAATCTCGACTAAGCACTTTGTCCATCTCCGTAAAGCCAAACTCGTGATATTTGCGTACTTTATTTAGCTGGAAAAGCATATCGCAAAGAAAATAGATTTTATGCCGCAATTCGACATCTTTAAAAGTTAAAATGGTTTCCTTTCACCCACAACATTTTTAGTAACATCATTTCCCTCTAACTTTTCACGTTGCCTTGCAATTTTGTACGTACGTGAAAATGTGGGAACATAAAACTAAAACTTTATCTTGTAAAGTGCCGAAAACGTTTAGAAGGTAACGTAGTTTCGCGCTACGAATTTTTACTACGCGACATATATCATTGAATAAAAAAATAAATATGATATACTTACCCGATTGTCAAATGTGGATTTCCCTTTAGTTATTTGTTTTTCAGATATGTAAAATTTTACAATAATTTTTTATAGACTGAATTTTCCTAAACACCGTTCTTACTACATTCCTGCAGAATCCTTAATATCCTAAACGGAATTCCATAATGCAAGTGTTTGATTGCTATTGCAAATTGGCTTTGAATCTTTCTGGATAAATAAAAATATGTGAAACAGTTTTAGTACGGGCCACTAAATGTTAAACTTTCTGTAAACTTGAGGACTTTATAAATCAGCCTTTTTCCTTTAGAAATGATGCAATGTTCGAGGTACATTGTACAAGAAAAATTGCAGAAAAATTGTGATTCCCAATTCCAACTCATATAAAAGCAATTTTTTGGTCTTAACTATGGTATGTACATACTATGATTTGTTCGAATTATTCGATTATACTTGTGTACTTTTTGTTTAGATTAAATTAAGAAAGGGGGAGAAAGAGAATGAGAGAAGGGAACAAAAATACCTCGATGAAACTAACCGAATTATTGCTATTGGGGCCAAATAGCAAGCAACCATATTAAGCTAACATCAGGGGAAAAGTGATCCGAATTTAATGCAAAAGAATTAGTCAAGTTTAATTAGCGGTAACTGCGCTTTCCTCTATTCATTTCCTGAGTTTTACGACACGTCACACCCCGAAAGCGGTCGCATGGCTGAGCTCCGCCGAAGGGCAATTAAATTGGCTCATTGACTGGTTATCAATTTAGAGCAAAATTTCATTTAAGCAATATACGTGGATAGGTAATGTTTTATTACTTTCGAGTAGAATGTGCAGTCCATTTCAATAGAATTAGAGGCATCGTTTGACTACACCAGACAATTCATATTAATAGATGAACATATCGATTTGAGACGAATTGGGATACTGGTAACATGTCAAATCACAACTAGCACATCTGGGAAGATAATAAAATAGATGAGGATAATAGTAGTCACTATTACATTAACTTTTTTAGAAAATCACTACCTAAATAAAATTTTAGTCCATACGTTGAGTGAGCCGGAAACAAGTTTTTTTCCGATTAGATAATGCATGAGCGACTTCTATATTCTTCTGAATGTTATAATTTCCTATGTATGTCATAATAACAGGACTTGGCTTGGACGTAATCATGCCCAAACCAACCACAGGTTTCCGGTCAATCTAGGATCGGCTGCGGTGTTCTGCAGGCTGGTTAAGGGACTTTCAGTCATTGACGCCAGTATTGATCTCTCAAGGCTGTTCCTAGGTTCTCGAAGGGAAAAATGATGACGTCCCTCAGTTCCTGGATACCGAATCTACCATCTCTGACTTCAGCATGAAGAGAGGGGTCAGGCGTATGGCCGTTCAGGTCACGGACCCGCCTGGTACCTGATCGCTCGGTCTGACTCTCTCAACATTTTGATGTTTTGCAGTCCGTATTTAATTTTCAGGATGACATAAGAGCCGGCTTCTGGTGTGACTTCAAAGGTGCTCCTCCCACATTTAGTAGCCACCGATGTAAGTTTGAAATGTTGGGCTTTTGTATTCCCGTGGCCCCAAACGTGTCGATCCCGTTGACTGGTCGAACTACCTATCCCTCAAGGTGAAGGAAGGATGGATTAGTAGATTACCCTGCTTACTCCCCTTGCTATTTTAATTGGTCGAGTGTAATTGACCCCTATCTTAATTGATGTTTCGATTTCAGTCAAGCTATCCATTATGAAAGTTGTTATACTCGTCGAAATGGCATTGGAGGCTAGGGCTAGATTTACTGTGCAATACAGTGGCCGAGAATCATGGTATTAGATAGTGTGCCGTCCACGTTAATAAAATCACGCTGCTTGGTGTGCAGGCAGATAGTGCGTTTTAACTTGTCTGCTAAGATAGGCCGTAGCGGACGCTGTATTGATGAACTGATAGTAATGGGCCTCCAAATAGAGGGCTTATCACCTTTCGGTTCAAGGACTGTTCTGAAGGTCTACGAGGCGGGGAGGACTGAGGGAACTGCCAAACTGAGGTTGTTGTATTCCTTTACGGATATAACCGGGATGCCGTCAGGTTCTGGGGCAGAATGTGACAGTTAGTTCTACTTCACCGTAATTGCTGTCGTCATGATAGTGCGATCACAAGGTGTTAGGTTAAAGGTGTTGTCGTCGGGGGCGCGAGACAGGCATCAGTATTCCCCCAAGGAGTTTATCAATTCCCTCCAGCGATGGCAGTTTGGTGACTGCCTCAAACCCTTGCCGGATAAGGTCATAGGAACATTGAGATCCTGAGTCTTTTTAAAGGCGGCGGCTCTAGGATTGCGGTCTGATTTTTGATTACCATAGTGCCCAGCAAGCCTGCCCCTATGGAGGCGACGATGGGAATCAGTAACAACGGGATTGCTGGTTCCTTGTGCTATTCGAAGCCGCTCTCATCTTAAAGCTAACCGACACTTTTACTAAAATATCATAAAGATGTAAAATATTTTTTAAAATATCTATAACATTTCCAAATATGTCCAAGCCATAATAAAGTCTCAGTTAATATAATATGCTTTTTAGATGATAGTCTCTCCTAACGTTCTGTGTGTCAATTTAATAAAAAAAAAAACGAATTTTCATAATTGTTTAATTTAGGAATAGAATTAACATTGTTGGAATACCAGGACCATGTAGGGCTTTTACATCTATGTAGTGCATAATGTAAGAGAAAAAGTGCAGTTTCTGGCTTACTTGTGGTCTTGTAGACTAAATTGAAGTAGAGATTTTAGTTTGATGACAAAAATTACTTTTTTTTAATTTTGCCGTATATCAATTTTCGAACGGCTCCTTATCTTATAGTATCACGGCCCAAGGAACAAGAATGCTCATTATAGTCCTTCAAAACTTTTAATCACACTTCACTGTCCTCAAAATTTTTAATTACAGTGTAGTTAAATGGTTGCTTCCAAAGTTCGGGTCTTAAAGAAAATTTTAAGTATATTCTAAATTTTTGCACATAATTCCGCTTAGTCATCTAAGCTAAATATGACCTGCTTAATAACAAATATGTAAATAGTGCATATATTTTCTCTCGATAGCGGTGGTAAATGTTTCATAAATCACCTTCTATCTTTGAAACTGGAAATTGGCAATCTGCAAAATAATCTTCGAGAACATAACAAAATATTTTTTCCGAAAAGCCGTTTATCCATAGATTTTCAGTATTATTTTCGATGATAAAACGTCAAAATGTCGCATCGCAATTAGGATTACGCTAAACAAAACGGCATTATTTATAACGCGCTAAAGATTACGCACGTCAGTGTGCCAAGGGCACACAAAACCAAAGCTTTTGCCTGAAATATGAATAGTTAATGAGAATGCGGAATTTCCGTTTGACGGAGGTTTTGTTTTGTCATTAAAATGGAGGTGAGAAATGGTGAGTGTCAGGTGGCTCTTCAGAATGATTAATGGCTTTCCGAAAAAAAAACTGTTTTACTGCACTTCACCCAAGAGATTATATTTGAACGCATGGGGCGGTTGAATAAAAAACATTTTTTGCTGAACAGCACTTACCTCTCTAACATGTGGCCACCAATTATTATTATCGTATAATACTCGCAGAGTAACGCTATAATATGAACTGACATATGAATCAGAACTAAAAACAAATATATAAAAATTTAGAACCGAGTGGTATGTTAATTTCTTAAAGAGTTAGAAACGAAATATGTGACATAAAAAATAAAAATAAAAAATTTTTTTTTCTAAAAAAACATTGATTAAACGTTTATAAAACATTGCTATTAATAATAATAACATTTATTCAATTTGAAGTTTACAATAACATAATCTATAAAATCGATTTAAGTGGAATAAATGTTTTGTTTCACTGAAGCATTGCGAAATGTATATGCATGACACACCAATATTAAACCAAAGCAATAATAATTCCAATAATAACAACGAGGCAAAGAATCTGCTTGTTACATTTATAGTAATATAATATCTACTCATACATGTAAGCAAAAATAAAAATAAAAATAAAACGAGGATAAAAACATTAACTCACTAGGCATGTGAGAATTAGGATTTAGGTTAAAAAAAACTATGCTTGATTAAATATAATTCTTATTTACCTTTGATATTTTAAGTTAATGAGGTTATCAAAAAGTCGTCTGCCCGTCTGAAACATCCATATTTTGACATATTTTTTAAATTTCGTAAAGATGGTTTGTTCTCTTATATATGCTGATAGCGCATGTTATATAACCTAGGTGAGAAATACGTATATGTTCGTTGTTCGTGGGTTTTTGTTCTAACTGTGGGATAGACGTCCTTGTTTTGTCTGTTCCGGGTATTATAAGTGTGATTAGCATTAAGAACAAGAATTTTTCCTTTTTGGATGTCTTTTAATATACTAAAGCAGTATAACTGCCGTATATCGAGAATTTCATTCTTCTCAAACAGTAGGTCCGATGGGTAAGTTTTTTGTTTGCTATAAATTATTTTTAGAAACCACTTTTGCAACACATTTAGATTTTTCAGGTGATTTTCAGAGACCCCGCCCCAACCCAGGATGCCATAGGAGAGGTGAGTTTGTACTAATGACATATATAGGTTTTCCAATTGATTTCGGTTTAAAAAATCTCGTAGGTAATTAAATTTTAATAGAAGTGGTCTGATTTTTTCTACTATAGATTTAATTTGCAGATTCCACTTGAGCTGGCAGTCAATAGTAATACCAAGATATTTAAACGATGTTACTTGCGGAATTTATGTCATTTCAACTGTTAGGTTTCCGATGTTTGGGAGCTGATTTTTGTAGGATGAGAAAGGTAGGTATTTGGTCTTCTGTAAATTCAATGTAAGTTTATTGTACTGATATCACTTTTTGAGAGTCTTTAAGTCCTGCTCAATTTGTAACTTTAACAATTGCCATGTTTTTGCCCGTCCAAAAATTACAGTGTCATCGGCAAAACTGAAAACTATTGGTGTCTAAATTTAACATATATCGTAAACAGTAGCGGTCCGAGAACTGTACCCTGTGGTACGCCACATGTTACTGTCTTCATATCGCTCAAAACACCATCTATGCTTACGCACTGTTTACGATTGAACAAATAACTACGCAGCAACTCAAATACTCTCCCTCTCAGTCCACAACGGTATAGTTTATCAAATAACTTATTGTGGCAAACAGTATCAAAAGCCTTGCTTAAATCTAAAAAAACGCAGATGCAAGGGTTACTTGAATCTAATGAGTCGTATATTTGGGATGTTAAAGATTTGATAGCATCATGTGTTGACTTTCCTTTTCGAATTTAGAGATTATATTGAATTTATCAAGAAATTTAACAATCCTCGTTTTAAGTACCCGTTCAAAAATTTTAGAAAACACTAAAAGTATTGATATTGAACGATAATTTTCAAGTTTTTCTCTGCTGTCATTTTTATATAATGGCTTAATAATGCCAACTTTTAAACAATCTCCATCCACATCCACTCTCAAAACATTTATTTATAAGAAACGTTAAGGGTTCGGAGATTTGAAAACAAATCTCTCTTAGTGTCTCGCTTCTAATACAGTCCCATCCAGGAGCTTTTTTCGTTTGCAGTTTTTTTATAACTTTTTCAATTTCCTGTACATCTACGCTACATAAGAGCATTGTATTTGCCAGCATGGGAAAATCATTTCGATAATTAGAGAGTGGTGCCTAATTTTTTCATTGCTGCTTTACTCTTGTCTCCGATTGGATGAGCTTCTTATTGTGCTGCCTGTTAAAATCGCTTTGCATGACGTAATTCCTGAAACTATATGAGCGGTACCTGTATGATCGCCACACGTTTCCGGAAATTCGTATTTTACGTCTAGTTTTAAAGAAGAAGTTTGTGCGAAGTTGGCTTCCGTCAAAATAATCTGTGCAAAGTTTAATATTAATCACGGGAAAGTTCTCTGAAAACCGAGAACTTTAGGATAATATGCTTTCATCTCGCGGTTTTGCTTTTACCTTACTCGGAAAAAGTTTTAAAAAGGATGTCATAAGGATTAGGTGACACTCTGCATAGAAAGAGGAGTCGAAATAAGATAAAGAAACTGGAGAGCGGCTAAAAGAACCAAACAGATTTTGCGTAAAGTGATTTGAGAAAATGAAATTTCAAATATCAGTTTAACTTCTATTTTCGGGTGTAAAGTTAATAAATGGAACCTGCTTGTTTGGTTAACAAATCGACAATTCTTGAAGGAAATCCACTAATTTAGTTACAAATATTACAAAAATAATTTTTTTTAATAGAATGCTAAATTATTTATTTCTCGGCATTTTCTTTCAAGATGCTTTTTTGAATTCTACTGGAACATTTTTAGAGACCATTAAAATTAAGAGTAGCAGAATTCGTTTTCTTCAAATATTCCTACATTTGTTTGGCATCGGTGGCTTTGTTAAATAGTTAATGCAAAACAAGCTAACCTCAAAAAACTTTAGACGCATGTTCAAGCGTGCGAGTGGGCAGACTCCGGGAAGTGAATTATAATAGCTATTGTCATACATTGCTTAGGCAGTGACATGGAAAGTAATTAGATATACAGCTAAGAAAACAACTTTGAAGAACACGTAAGACCATATAATAAATTAAAGGATGCACTTGCTTGATGCAATGACTTCCATTAGGAGCCAGTTGTTAGCGCGAGTAGTAGGTTTATTTATTTGACTTTTTACTGTAATACTAATCCCAACTTTAATGCAGAGTTCCTGTATACCATATAGAGTGTGATATAAATCTATGGACTATTAGATGTGCAGATGACTTTTTCTATTGTTTAAAGCACTCAATGTCACTTTCACAAACTCCGGCTGCTTTTTCTTTCATAGACTTCGTCCTCGAAATAACATTTGGAGTCAAAAACTTCCTCTGCGAACAATATTATTAAATGAATTTAACTTCCAATATTTACCTTGAAGTAACCTTTCCCAGCGAAACTTTCTGTGACATATTAAAGTTGAAGGCAAACAAAACGTTTTCCAGTTAGGAAATAAATTTAAAAGCACTCCAGAACGAATATAGTCACTTTCAGTTTTGTAAGTTTGACTTATTCGAGTTTGCTTTGCGAAATTACGGAGCATCACATTCGGGCCGAAAAATGAGATCCCAGAAAGTCCAACGGAAACAAGAATTTTAAGTCCATCCAAAGAACACTGTTGATGACTGCTCCGGCGATAATAATATAGAGGAGTGTCAATATTCAATACCTATTTTTTTTCATGTAGCTTTGTGGGCAATTTCAGTACTGTGTATATTAGATTGCCATTATCAGAAATTATTTCAATATATAGCACCAAATACCACTTAAATTACCACCAACTTTCACACTAATTAGCACTGCTATTACCATTACTTCTATTAGATAAATAACAACAGGTAAGTAAAAAAACTGTTTAGATATTTTATCTGTTTTGGGGACAGCAAAAATTTTATCAATAAGAGGAAAAATAAGATTACAGTTTAAATGCAATAAAGATAAGTATAATCTTGCAATACGAATTATTAAAAAATAAAGTCTATTCAGGATATGATAAACTTCTAATTTTAAAACAAGACATAAAAACTAACAATTTAAACAAATCTTTGGTTAGTCAGATTAACAGAATAATACACACCAAGAGCCAAATAACTATATTGTATAAATTTACATTAATACATGCAAATAGTATATATTTAATTTCTTATGAGGATCCTTTCGGAACTTTAAAATTTTGTTTATATTGAGATCAAACCCTTTTAAGTGAAAAATCTTTTATACGATTAAGAGGGCCACAGAAAATATTTCCCGCAAAATTTCTAATAATTACAGCAACTAAGTACACTACAATAACGCAATGAAGTAATGTATTTCAAAGTGGCAATATTAATTTTCTTTTTTAAAGACTCCATATATTTAAATTAATTTTAAATTAATTCATGGAATAAATTTATCCAAGTAGTTTATTCAGTTTCCCAAAACGTTGAGTATTATTGTTTAATTTTTATATCTTTGATCTTAAAACGTTCCAATATATATATATATATATATATATATATATATATATATATATATATATATATATATATATATATATATATATATATATATATATATATATATATATATATATATATATATATATATATATATATATATATATATATATGTTAAATAAACGATTGTTTTAAGTTTAGATTCAGATTCAGATTGGTTTTGTTGCTTAGTGTTTTGTGTGTTGTGATATAAAATTTAATCATAAAGCGATATACAACAATGTTACCTGTTACATGAAAGAATGGAGCAAAAACTAAACAAAACTGTTATAATATTTCATTTCCTTATTTGGTTAGCTTTGGCTCTTTCCTTCTAACAGATGAACAGATGATGATAACAACACTAAACAACAAAACAAATCTGTGCCGCTGTCTAAAATAAAAATAAAAAAGAAAATCACAAACCAAAAATGTACCGGGCTGTTTATTTTAGATTGAAAATTAATACCGAAAACTATAATTTAACTGTCAACAAAAACAGAAGTGTGGAAAGCAGTGGTTATGGATAAGGGTTACTTATCTGTAGCAATATATAATTCAACTGCAGTAGGAAACAGACCTGAAACAAAGCGAGCTTGTCAGCTGCGAAAACCGTCGCTATAACTTGTAATTAAAAAAAGTAATAAAGTACGAAATTGATTTTGAAAATAATGGTGTTTGGGATAATGATGCTGCAATATGTTACTGTTCAATATATCTTTTTTAGAGAGATAAAATAAAAGAAAACACAATACCGTGTTATCACTTTTGATATAGACACGGTGTTGCCGAAACAATTGTCATGTAAAAATAAAAAAAATTCGTGAAAATCTGAACTTTTAGTTTTTTTAGATTTTCATCAAGTAAAAGCCACGTCAGTTCAAAACAAGAAATATATTATCCGAGAAACAATTATACCACTGTTATTTCCATTTTATAAAAGAAAATCCAATAAAGAAAATTAAATAAGTGATTCTTTGGCAAATTTCAACACAACTGATATTTTGCGGGGGCACACGTGCATCTAAATTAATATTCAGGGCACGACAAATGCGATATGTTCTCATGGTTGACTTCAGAAATAAGTTCAGTGAAGTTCAACGAGAGAAATATCGGTGTAATTTGTCATTGACGGAGTCGACATTAGAAAACTCCCGCGCGTCTCAAATTTTCTCCCTTTTTTCACGTCCCATACTTTCGATTTTCTCCTCTTATGACGCGAAAAAATATTTTCTAAATTAGTTTCGCCCAGCCGTGCGATACATTTGCAAAATGTACATTAAGATTAATTCTTTCCATTACCATATGATAAACCAATCTATTTAAGTAAATAATTATAAAATTAATTTCTGGAGACCACAAAGTATTGAGTGGTTAGTTTAGTTGTAAATGGTTTGTTTGTGTTTTTCTAACACCAACATTTAAATTTTTCCTAAGTAAGATTTAAAAAGCAGTTTCTAATATCGTTTTTTTTTCCTTTTTATTGATTGATTACAGTTCACACTTGTAGTTGCTGGAATCCTGAATATCTTTCTAATTTGACGATCGATTGCACGCCAGTGTGAATATTTAAAATAATAAATAAAAACATACCGAAAACTTGAGGTAAGGAACGGGTGGCGAATTTTGAGTATTACATAATTCGGGCAATTTTAAAATTGCTACACCGCAGTAACGTACTAACTCCTTGACCCTTCCTTTCCTCGTCATTTTATACTTTGTTTTAATTTCGTTAAGTTTAAGGAAGCAGTAAAACTTCTTACCGACCTACCGAGAAAATTAA